TCCCTGAGACTTTGGGGGGGTCCCGAGCTTTGGGGGGACCCTCCCAAAACACCCTTGAGTGTTTTGGGGGGGTCCTTGGGGTCCCCTGAGCCTCTGGGAGGGGCCCCCTCAATTTTTGGGGTGCCCTGGGACCCTCCCTGAGGTATTTGGGGTTCCCTGAGAGGGTTTTTGGGGGGGTCCCTGAGATTTTTTGGGGTCTGGGAGGGGTCTTTGAATTTTTGGGGTGGTCCTCAAACTTTTGGGAAGGTTTGGGAGGAGTCCCCGAACATTTGGGGGGGTCCCGAGGGGGTTCTTGAGATTTTGGGGAGCTCCGGGGGTCCCTCCTGCCCCCCAAAATCCGAAATTCCTCATTCTTGGTCCTTCCAGGATGGTCCTGGGGGGTCCCCATGGGGTTGGAGGGACCCCAAAAATTGGGAATTTCAGGGAATTCTTCAGGAATTGGGGTCCCCAAAAATGGGAATTCTTGGGAAATTGAGAGAGTCCCCAAAAATTGGGAATTCCTAGGAATTGAGAGAATTCCTCAGGAATCAGAGTCCCCTAAAAAATGGGAATTCTCAGGGATCAGGGGGTTCCCAAAAATCAGGAATTTCAGGGGATTGAGGGAATTCCTCAGGAATTGGGGTCCCCAAAAATGGGAATTCTTAGGAAATTGAGAGAGTCCCCAAAAATTGGGAATTTCTCAGGAATCAGGGGGTCCCCAAAATCGGGAATTCTCAGGGATTGAGGGAATTCCTCAGGAATTGGGGCCCCCAAAAAATGGGAATTCTTAGGAAATTGAGAGAGTCCCCAAAAATCGGGAATTCCCGGGGATTGAGGGGTTTTCCAGGGATTTGGGGGTTCCCAGGGGGTCCCCGATTTTGGGGGGTCCCGGGCTCTGACCCCGCGCTCCCCCCCAGCTCCAGCCCCGCTGTCCCCGGCACCTGGCACAGGTGAGCGCACCCGGATCCTGCGGGGTTTTTGGGGTTTTTTTTGGAATTTTTGGGAAATTTTGGGATTTTGTTTGGAATTTTGGGGGATTTTTTTGATTTTTGGGGGATTTTTGGGAATTTTTGGGATTTTTCTGGGAACACCGGCATTCCCTCGGCCTCGGGAACTCATGGGAATGCTCCCGGGGATCTGGGAATTCTCCTGTAGGATTTGGGACCTCCATCCCAGAGGATTTGGGATTCCATCCTGTAGGATTTGGGACCTCCATCCCAAAGGATTTGGGGCTTCATCCCGAGGGATTTGAGGCTTCCATCTCTGAGGATTAGGGGCTCAATCCTATAGGATTTGAGGACTCCATTCAAAGGGATTTGGGGGCTCCATCCCGCAGGATTTGGGGCTCAATTCTATAGGATTTGGGATTCCACCCCTGAGGATTTGGGGCCTCCACCCCAAAGGATTTGGGGCCTCCATTC